TAAAGCATGCACCTAGAGCTTGGTATGATACACTTTCAGAGTTTCTTGTCAACTCAGGTTACAAGCAATGTGTGATTGATCCCACTCTTTTTAAATGAGTAAATGATAAACACTTGATGCTCGTTCAAATCTGTGTGGATGATATCATTTTTGGCTCAACGGATCAAGGAATGGTGGATGATTTTGAAAATCTCATGACAAATAAGTTGCAGATGAGCATGAATAGAGAGAGAGATTAATTTCTTTCTAGGACTTCAAGTCAAACAAATCTCTCAAGAGATCTTCATCCATCAAGAAAAATATACAACCGAGCTGTTAAAGAAATTCTCAATGGATAATTTTGATGGGTTTTGAGCATTCTAACACTCCTATGGTGTACATGCAACCCTAGAAACCTTGGATCTATGTTTTCTCTATTATACATGCAAATTTGATTTTCCAAGGTTCTCAACCTAACTAGCATGTTATGGGGTACTTGTAATATAAAACTTTAGTAGAATAACATACCTTTTTCTTGTGGTTGATTGCTTGGAGCTTCAAGAGCCTAGCACCAATAATGTGGATGCCTCAAGTGGAATCACAAATCACCAAACCAACTTCGAAACTTGAGAGAATAGTATGCACTTAGTAGAAATTGGCCCACCTTTGTTCTCACACACTAGTGCCATTTCATGTGCCAAAGACTTCTTTATATAGTATGGTGGATTAGGGTTACATCCATGTAAACCCTAATACCTATGACCTTTCATTTCCATAGGATCCATGGGTTAAAAACTCCATGGACTATCCATGCAAGCTTAGCCCATCCTAAATGAACATTGGCCCATTTTATATATATAAGATTCCATATTTAATTAGTCTCTTTTGATCACTAAATTAATTCCAAATTAATTCTTGATCAATACTAATTAAATAATATGATTTCATATTAATATATTATAACTTATAATATATTAATAAATCATAAATATACTATTCTGAAAAGATTATCCATACAAATTGTTTTGGTGAAGTGCAACCCAAAAGGACCATGTCGGGTCGGGTCAAGTACATACCAAATATAGTTACAGACTTAGACACCTTATCCAACAGTCTCCCACTTGGATAAGTCTGATAACTATAGTTGCAGGTATGATTTCAGGAACTGACCACCAATCGTAGCTCTTAAAACTCTGTTGAACTATGAAGTGCCATTTTAGATAAGTGATCATATAATCCTTTGTTCTAGATATCAGCCGGACAAATACATGGAACAATGTCATACTTATTGTCCAGCAGTTTGTTTCCAGATTTCCGATTTGTTTGACATAGAACTAAACTGAACACATCAATTTGGTTCTGACCGGGCCCGACACATAGGTCAAAACAAAATCATCGAGGGGCCCAGATATCGCTTTTAATCCTCCAAGGACTAAAAGGGACATATAAACTTCGACTCATATGCTTGTTCTACTACTTTTTGAATCATACACAAAGGCACGTTTTATAACATCAAGTTACTGATGCGTTTTTGTACAATCAATGCACAACCAACTCATAGGCAACAACTCATATAGGTTTGAAGACTTATATGATGTTACCGTCTCACGATCACTCGAGATAAATTCCATGAAGTGATACAAGTGAGTGTGGGTTTAATCCAATACTCAGAACTTATGAACACTCATGAATGTTGTAGCAACTTTTGCTATGTCTGACACCTTAAACATCTACAAGCCCAATTCATGACAGTCTTGATTCATTCCTACTTCCAAAGTACGACTGACTATGGAGAGTTTGAATAAAGTAATTATTCTGGAAGTCAAAACATGCAAAATTGAAACAATAGTAAACAATTGACACAAGATAGCAACACCTTACTTATAAATAAACAACAACTTTTATTTAATCATCAAATGTCAATTACATTTTAGAAGTTTCAGAAATAGCTATCGAATCTGTAAAACTAATATCGTCCTTCAGCCCAATGCGCCTCGCATGCTGCAAATGCTTAACCCTAGTCAAGCCCTTCGTGAGGGGATCTATTGGGTTCTCTTCTGACGATACCCTCTTAGCCACGAGGAGTCCTTCTTCTATATTGTGTCTTATGAAGTGATATTTTCTATCAATGTGTTTGGATCTGCCATGATCTCTCGGTTCCTTGGCTAAGGCAACCGCACTATTCCTATCACAAAAAATCTCCATAGGCTCCTTTATAACTGGTACAACTCCAAGGTCTCCGATGAAGTTCCTTGGCCATATCGCCTCCTTCGCCGCTTCACTCGCTGCTATGTACTCTGATTCACATGTCAAATCAGCTACTGTCTCATGTTTGGAACTTTTCCAAGTAATTGCTCCTCCATTCATGGTAAAGACCCAGCCTGACTGAGAGCGTAAATTATTCCTATCAGTCTGAAAGCTAGCGTCACTATACCCCACTACTCTCACGTCATCACTCCCACCAAGGGTAAGGACCCAGTCCTTAGTCCTCCGCAGGTACTTAAGAATGTTCTTCGCCGCAGTCCAGTGAGCCTTTTTAGGGTTCCCCTGATATCTGCTGACCATGCTCGGAGCAAAGGCGACATCAGGGCAGGTACAAGTCATAGCATACATGATCGAGACAATAGCGGAATCATATGGTAATCGACTCATCTCAGCTATCTCAGCCTCTGTACTCGGACTCTGAGCCTTGCTATGTTTGCCATTGCTGTGGATCGGTAAATCACCTTTCTTGGAATTCTGCATGTGGAACCTTTTCAAAACCTTGTCCAAGTAGGTGGCCTGACTAAGTCCAATTAGTCTTTTACTCCTTTCTCTCAATACCTTATCCCTAGGATATAGGCATCTTCTCCAAGGTCCTTCATAACGAAACACTTCCCAAGCCAGGACTTAATCTCCTGCAAAGTTGGGATGTCATTTCCCATGAGTAGTATGTCATCCACATACAGTACCAAAAAGCTAACTATACTCCCACTAGCTCTGACATATACACAGGACTCATCTTCGCTTCTCGAAAAACCAAACTCTTTGACTTTCTCATCAAAACAAAGATTCCAGCTGCGAGATGCTTGTTTCAATCCATAAATGGATTTCTCAAGCTTGCACACTCTATCAGGGTACTCTGCACTGACAAAACCCTCTGGCTGACTCATGTAAACATCCTTACACTACTAGAAAACAGCCTTTTACGACGTGCAATGCGTTTCGTAAAACGCTCAGACGACGCGCAAATGCGTGTCAGGGAAGGCCCTATGATAACGAGAGACGATACGCTTTTGCGCGTCGTCTATAGACGACGCGCATTTACGAAGCGCAGTTACGACACACATTTACGACACTCATTTATGAAACGCAATTCTTATCAAGGAAGGCCCTGTCATGAAGGAAGACGACACGTATTTGCATGTCATAACCTTACGACGTGCGTTTAGGACACACATTGCGTACCATTAAAGCCTCTGTCATAAATGAAGATGACACGCATTTGCGTGTCATGAACTTCAACAACCATTTACGATATACATTTATGACGCGTCTTTACGATACTCATTTACACATAATACAAAAATATGGAAACAAATATATACCAAAAAAACCAGTTTCATCCAATAACTTCTTGTCCAAAAAATTTCATACATTGGTATTAATGGGATTTGATTGTACATTGTTATTAAGAGGTTTTCCCTAACTATATAACCTAATACTACATTGCTATTAAGGAACACCTTCTTGTTTCTACTTCTTATTGTTATGCTTCTATTCCTACATGATACTTGTTTTCAACAACACAAGCAAGTGTGGTTAGTGAAACTGTATACCACTCCCATGGTGTATCCCATCATTGCAGGATCGGACACTCCAATCCACTTCCCTTGAGAACATTCCACCATTAATCAGAATCAGAATAACAAAAAACAATCAGAAAGGTAAGATGAAAAACAAAATCAAAGATATAGTTATATCACATTTAGAAAACAATTACCCTAGTTGCATTTGTTCTATTTGTTGTCCCACTCCAATCAAGTTCCCTAGCTGCATGTGCTGTCAAATTCCATCTAATTGTCCTTGCACAACCGAACAAACAAACATGACTATCAAAGATATAGTTATGTCAATTTCAGAAGAAAAAAAATACCCACCCGACCATTTATAGTCTATATCTATTCGTAGTCAGCTAGTATTTCAGCAAACATGTATTACCTTTGAGGATGAAAACATTAATGTTGGATCCATGGAAACTAGAAATCAAAATTTCAACTTACGAGCGAAATTAAAAAATAGAAATTGAAGCTTAATGATGATCTCTTACCTGTTGTAGCATCCACATAATACTCCTACATCCATTTCATATAACATTTTGTACACAACTTCATTTGACCACCATATGTCCTACATCCAAACAATTACAACTCATTTAGCTACAGCTAATAGATATTATCATAAATGCGTAAAGCAAAGGTATTAGAAATACTCATTGTAACTAGAATAGATGTAATTCTAGTTTGTAATCTTTAATGATTCGGAGGTCTTGCATTTCCATTGCGGTATTTTAGCCTCTATAACTTGGTATGCTATATCTCCAAAAATTATGAGTTGTCAATTTAAATAAACCATATATTTTTCCTCTTTAACACAAATAAGTTCCAAATTTTTACTTTTCAGGTGGATCCACATCATCATAACATAGTTTACTAAAAAGAAGTCAAAACATAAAAAATGATGATCTTTTAATGCCGACATTTGTATTGATGGTGGAATATAAAATATATATTTTTTCCTTTTTAAGAAATTTCATAGTTGGCTGCATAACCTTTGGAAGCCTCACCACTTAAAACATTGGAAAAGTGGTTAATAGTTTAACAAGAGACAAAATGTAGTTAGTTTGGAAACTTGACTAAAATTGTTAACAACTTAAAACATCGGAAATGTGGTTAATAGTTTAACAAGAGACAAAATGTAGTTAGTTTGGAAACTTGACTAAAATTGATAACAACTTATGTTATTATTATTCTTATTTCTCAATGCAGGCTATTGGTACGATGCTTAATGTGATTACATGCACCCTCATGATCATTGGATTCATCACTGCCACGCAACCTCAAAATGTAGTTAGTTTGGAAACTGATGTTAAGAGCTTTGGAGCTGTAGGAGATGGCATCAGCGACGATTCTTTGGTACACAACAACTTTTTTATATACACAGTGTGGTGTGATTCTGAGTAGTAGCAGTTGACTAATCCGTTTTCAAGCTATTTTCTTTTTGAATTACTGACGAATATTCTATAATTTGACAGAAACAGGAAATAGGCAGCTAACTTAGCAATAGTGACATTTCTTTTTTTAAGCATTTTACAATTTAAAATTTTTAATGTACGTATGTCATGATCTTGTAGGCACTTAACAAGGCATGGGATGCAGCATGTAGTTCGACTGGACAATTTAAATTACCTGATGGAAACTTTCTTGTTCAACCATTGTCTTTCACGGGTCCATGCAAAGCTCCAACTGTTGTCGTCACTGTAAGTGTAATTAATTAATTAATTAATATGATTGCCAAGAAAATAAATTAATTAATTTGTTAATTACTATAGAATTAATTCATGGGATATTTTTAATTATATGTTTGAAGGTCGTAGGGACTCTTGTAGCACCACCAAAGAACAAGTGGATTAATAACACCGATACTTGGCTTAACTTTCAACACATTGATAATCTTGTTATAACAGGACCTGGACGATTTGTTGGTCAAGGGCAATCTGGTTGGTGGGACTCTTGCAAACAGGTCATGACATCTTTTTATTACAATGAAAATTGTTTTTTATTTAGATATATGGATCTTATTTTTATTACAACAAAATACTTTAACAAATCAATCCAATTATATATAATCGTGGAAAGTACTATTTTTCATTCAGATTACCAGCTTATATTTTGATAGATTTGTCATATTGGAGTCTAGTGTTGTAATAACAACAAAGGAAAATGTAATGATCATATGATATGATAAACAAACAAGTAAAAATCCATTATAATTAACCCCTAGTATTTCTTAAGTTTTAAACCTTTTTAACTACTGACTGTTTGTTTATGTATTTCAGACTAGCACTTGTGAAAATAACCCCACAGTAAGTAATACCCTTGTGCAACATCCAAAACAAATTAAGTTATTATTTGATCATGCATATATAATGGGTTTATCTTTTTTCTTTTAGGCTCTGGGATTTCACCATTGCAATGGCCTTCAATTTGCATATGCCTCACGTGCCATTTTGTAAGCTAGTGAAAGGGCTAAATCCATTACTGTATTGACATTGGAATTAGTGACAGGGCCATCTGCGATTGCATTACCTCCTCTAATTATTTGCATGCCACCAATTTTTACAAGAGTGACAGATTTTGCATCCCATGGCTGGAAAAGTAAACTTGAGTGCATATTTTTTTTAAATTTAAATATAATATAGTGCCTTGAGGTTAAGTATCTGACCTCAAATCTAGTAGCTGTCGTCACACCCCCAAACCAGAACGGCGGAAACGTTCGGGGGTGGAGGACGTCATGTATAGTATCATATCAATGCATAATAGTAAACAAGCAACAACATCATCCATTGCATTAATAATATAATTTAATACAAGTGTGTTCTGTGTATAGTTTGAAAGACACCAAAATATGAATCAAAATAAAAGACGAGTCTCGAATGTGCTATGTCTTCTCAAGACCTGGTCCAGTGTACCTGTCTACTGGTGACCTGAGAATACAAGTTATTTTGAAAGAGTACATCGTCATTTAAGATGGTGAGTTCATAAGTATTTAGTGTCAGTTGTTGTATATGTTTAATGAAAGTGCTTCTTTGTAAATGTTTGTTTGTAAATGTTTGTATCTCCTAGAAAATCCTATATTTTCTACTTTAACTGAAATGCAGTCTTCTACCAAGACACGATTGTTCTGTATGTTTGTTCCTTTGTAAAAGTCAGTGTTTTTCCCAAAGACTGACTATCATTTACCAAAAATATAGTTTATATTACCGTTTATGTGAGAAGATCACAATTTGAATGTAATAGGAAAATAATAAAGATGTACTTGCAGTTTTGTATATAGCAACTATCGATGTACTAACTACCTTAAATCAATTGATTAATTAAGGTAAAATGTGATATAGTGTAACCATACTTGATTGACTAGTAAAACACAATGTTCGAAGACATCGAAATGGTATGACATTCGTCACCCGTAGACCTGCAGGTCCCACTATAGCTAGCAGCAAGGTGTAGGATGGTCAATCCCGTATAGATCTATACACAAATTCACGCTCTCCCTCCAGGAGACTCTGGTTACAAAACGTGACACAGCAGTATATTGCCATGCCATGAAGTAGTGGCTCACATTAATGTTATAGTGTTCTTGTATTTGTATAGTGTGTTCTCTCTGTTCTAATGTATTGTATGTTCTCTTTGTATAGTGTATTGTATGTTCTCTTTGTTTCTCATTATAGTGTGTTCTCTTTGTTTCTCATCATAGTATGTTCTTTCTGTTTCTCATTAGAGTAAGTTTGAACTGACTCATGTATGAACTAATTCTTGTATGTTTCATTGTACTAGAAATAGTGAGTAGTGATCCTCTAAACTATACCTATTATAGTTTACTAGTAATGTTGTTTGAGTGACTGAGTATGTTTGTACACCTTTGCTACCCAAAGGTGTTGAACTAATGTAAGAACTTTTATATCTATACACATATACATAATATATAACTAAGATTCAAACGACACTCGGACAAACAACCGGATACCCTAAGTCCACAACCAAACAAGGAACAGGAAATAAAGTGAGTTATCAGTCCTAAACCCTTTCAACCTTACGTATATAACTATATCTATATAGACATGATTTTGACAATATATAAGTTTAAAACAGTTTGATAAAGAGAGCATATAAAATAGTTTTAACATATAAAGGAATTATAACCATTTGAATGGTTACAGATGACTTGATGTCAGTTTATAAAAGGTTTTGAAATAGTTTGTTTGATAACACAGTTTTGAAGTATAAGAAATCCACTTCTTTGATAGTTATTAATCATATGTGATTGATATAATAAATATAATGTTTCTACTTGTATTCTCCCCCCCCCCCATAAAAGCATTTAAAATCATTTAAAAGATAATTTAAGGGGTATGAACTCACCTGTAGTGAGTGATTCGAATGTAAGATCGATATAGGATGTTAAGTGTCAAGTGAAGTCTCGAGCATAAAACGGATCCTATTAAGCATATAATGACACATATATGTATATAATTAGTGTATATAACAACTAATCATGAAAGGGAACCACCTTAGGGGCTAAGAAACACTTGGAATGAAGTGTTACAATCACATGTGATTGTACTAAAGGGGTATACGGCCACACTAGAGTGTTCACAGCCTTGGTGTTTACGGCCATGGTGTTCACGGCCATGGGAGTTTACGGCCAACACAAGAAGAAGCTAGGTTTTACGGCCTATGATGTTCACGGCCATTGTTGTTCTTGAGAAGGGTTTACAGCCAAAGGAGATGCTATGGCCGTAAACTCTTGATGATCAAGCTAAAATGGTTGATTTCAAGGGTGTAATTCAAGAGCTTCTAATGGGAAACTAGTATATGGAAAGGATACTTACGTTTTGAAGCTTGAAGGGGTGTTCACGGCCTAAAGAACTAGTGTGTTTTCTTGGTGTTCTTGAAGATCTAACCCAAAATAGGTGATTTCACGGATGAAATCAAGGGACTTTACTAGATTATGAAAAGTATCAACTAATAAATGGAAGAATCACTTACAATTTGTCGGGAAATGGAAGTCATCTTGATGATACTTGAGAGAGAAATGAGTTTCTTGAGTTTGGAAGTGTAAGGAATGAAGAATAATAAAGGATTATCCTACATAAAGGAGGAGTTCACGACCAGCCAAGAGATTACGGTCGTAATCTCTAGTTTACGGCCGTAAACTCCAAGACTTGGAGTTTTCCGGCTTGAATGCAGCACATTGAACTCTAGAAGATACTTCCTAACATCCAATCCTTGAATGTACTAGGCTTGGAACACTCAAACAGACTCTTAACAATGCTAAAAGATAGCAGAAACAAGTCTGACTTGTGATTGAATTGAATGGCTTTACAAGATAGAAATTTCGGGTTGTCACAGCTGTTCCTGCGGGTATATTTAATCTCATGCCATATGCTTTTCTTCAATCAAAAATCAAACTTGGATTGACCTCGATAAAATGATAATGGCTTCCAACCTATAAAAATAGTATTTATTTAAGTAATTATGTAAGAAAAATATTAAAATGTGAAAAAGAAAGTAGGAAGCCACCTGTATTGGTCTATCTCCATTGTTAGTTACTTTAAGGACCACTACCACCCTTCCAGAATTAAGCATTATATATCCATGTCTGAAGATTAGTTCTCCAGGAAGCTTACAACTTTCTATATTTGGAAACTTTTCAAGTGAAGGAACTGAAAATATCAATCAAATTTAGCAGGTAGGATAAGTCAAATGGATCCGTAAAGATGAAAAATACAGATTGCTGACCTGGAAGAAAAGATCCATGTAAAGCCATTTCAAGATTTCCATTTTCATAGGATACTGGATCATGTATAGTAATTAACTTTGTTCCATCAAGAAAGGTCGGTTCCTTCTACCTAATCATAATTTAAGCATCAATGAAAAAGATTTGATGCAAATTGATTAACTCGGATAGTGAAGTGGAGCAGATTTTAGTTCTTATGTGATACAAGAGTAAGCCTTGAGATCAAATGTGAAATAATGACCTGGACAGAATCCAAAAGGCGTGGAACTGTTGGAAGAACTTATCTCCTGATGACAAAAATATATATGTCAGACTTGTTAGTTGTGTCCAAATATCAGATTGATTGTTAAAAGAAACAAGTTATTTGTAGAGTAATATATAACAATTTACCTTCCTAAAAGTTGTCTCCCAACATCCATCAATTCTGCCACACTTTTGTCACCATGTACAAATTCCAAAATCTAACAATAGAGGTGGTTTAACTTTGTTATCAAACTATTTTCTAGAAAATGAAACATCTCGTGCAATTTTAAATTTAATATTAGTCCTTTTGACCTAAAAAATCAGCATTTCCCTTTTGACCATACTCTCTCCATATAAATTTCCACCTATATGTACTAACAAGAGCATCTTGTAGGAGGCGAGTGAGCTTGGAATCACGAAAAGGGATGTGTAATGATTTGGCATGTGGACTGTAAGTCAAAGCACTGATCACATTTCCATGTGCATAAAGTGATTTGTTAATGGATTTGGCTTCTTCTAGAACTTTCCCTTCAGCACCTGTCTTCTCAACCTTCTCAGATCCTGCCAAATCCACAAGAACAACCTTTCCACTGCTCACCCTATTCAGTTAATAATTTCAGAAGTGTAAATATGATATCAGTAAACTGTAAATTCTCAAAGAAATTATAACACCTTTTCTCATTTGTTACTTCTTTCTGAATAGTAAACATGTAGATGCAATGACTTCTACTGCTTCCAGCATTCATCTCTACACGAGCTGACAAGTCAATCAAACAACTAGCATAAATGAGAGAGAGAGAGAGAGGAATACGAGTCGCTCCAACAGCTCTGTTAGCTATCCCACCCTGCATTTGTCATTAACAATGTTAAGAATTAAAACATAACTGAATATTTATTTTTCTTAAAGAGTATTTTTGAATTAGGAAAACTTATAGTAAGACTTTGATCTTACACATAAGACTTTTAATGCTTCTTCTCCATCTAGTATTGAGATCTGTAGAAGGGAAGTTTTGTAACACTCGTGTTTCTAGCCTAGGCATTAATATTAAGGTGATAGTCTAGGTTAACCTTTGTAACTCATTTTGAAGAAATGAAAAAGGAATTATGTGAATTCTATGTGTTTTATGCTTAATTACTAGGAGTTAATTAATTAAGAATAAAAATGAGCGTCGAAAATAAATATTAGATGAAGCCGATATCTATTAAGAAAGTTGTAGTGGTCGTGACAAGGATTACGGATATATAAAGAATGTCGAAATTCGAGTTATAACGAAGAAGTTATGACCTGTCGAAGTTTCACGACAAAACCGGCACGGTGCTGAATGTCGTAAAAAGTGAGTTTTTGATAAACTACTTTTTAGCCTTAGTAATCTAAAAAAAACTCGTAGTGTTCGTCAAACCGAGAGTATGTATAAAAAGAACACCCAAATCTGACTTCGTATGAGGAAGTTATGATTTTTCAAAGTTTCAGCTTAGCAGTAGACAGCTAAAAAACTCGAATTTTAGATCGAGTGATTTTTAGCCGACACGAACTAAACGAGAATCGAAGGTCTCGTAAATAGTAGCACAACGGTAAAAAGTCTGACGAAAACGGACGTCGGATGAAGAAGTTATGAATTTTTAACGGATTTCTTGTCCCGGTCTGTTAAAAATAATAATATAAAAATTAAATTCAAAATTAGCCGACGAAGTCTAAACGGAAGTTGTAGAGCGTAATTTTACCTACGCGTGCATATAAAGAACGTCAAAAACGGAGCCCGTATGTGAAAGTTATGGATTTTAGAAGTTTTGGCGCGAAAAACGAGAAAAATCCCGAAAACCGAGAAATTTCGCATAGGTGGACTTCGGCCACGTGTCCTCGCTTAGAACATGCTACGTGTCCGAAAAAGTGCTGAGTCATCCGAACTTTTGAGCTGATCTGAAGTGGTCCACTGAGAAGGCGACACGTACCCTCTATCACGTGTCCGAACCCTCGCAGCATGCCACGGATCCCCCCTACTTCGGACCTACACCTCAGTCCAATCACAAGAGGACAGCAGCCCCTTCGCATGCGCAGCCCACGTGCGAGCCTTCCCTGCGAGCCCTCGGATCAGCACCACCTGGAGCCTTCTCAGCCGTTGGATCATGAGGCTCGCCCCTATCAATAGGAGGGTGCGAGACCTCCCTGGTATATTTTGAAAACTTGTCAATTTTAGCCCCTAAACTCATATTTCTTTCATATTAACATCCCCCAAAGCCCCGGTATCAATTATAACCCCCAGAATACGCCACGAAGTGCCCGAGAAGCCCGGAAAATTTATTTTTTCGGTTTCGAAGCCCGACCTTTGCAGAGCCCGGTTTCTCAATAAAACTCACGGTTTTATTAGAAACGAACGTTTTAGGAAACGAATTGCTGCCCGATTATCATCAAATCATGTGAGTGTGTAGTTACTTTCACTTTACACATAGATATGAAGTATTTAGCTTAAAATACGTGCTATGTGTAAATATGTTAATTGTTTATTTGAGGTGACTGTTGAATAGATGTTTCTAGACAGTCTAGTGGCACACTAGCATGTTCGCAACTTGTAGGTGTTGATGAACTAAATGTTCATTGGTGTACTCCAATCCCCCTCATGGTTGCCTTTAGGACATGTATGGCTGAGGAGTCCCCTTAGCAGTAGTGTCCAACCCGATGATATTCCTTAGGATAGGTCCCTTGTGTTAGGTGTTTAGGGACGTAAAGGGAGGACAACGGGAATGGGTAATCAGGGTTATTGTTGATTGGTGAACTTAATAAGTTATTATTATTGTGGGTTGAAAACCCTATATGCTCACCAGGCTCCCAAGCCTGACCCACTCAGTTTTTTAATGATTACAGGTAGTGGACCCCAAGCATAGTCGGAGGACGATGAGAGATTTTTGATTATAGGCCAGTAGTTGTAAATAACTGTAGTAAGGCTTATAATGTCTTGTTTATGCTTTTGATCTGTATCGGAACATGACATCCCGAGGCTTTGATATATATGGAAAATATATACCTTCTTAAAGAAGGGTTTTGATAAACTTTTATCATGTATTGTTTTGAGGACCAATTCCGCAACATCTTTTAAAAAGATTTCTCTGATTTTGTTTTAAAAAGCATAAAATAAATCGGTCTTTTCTGGCCGAGAAATTAGGGGATGTCACAGTTGGTATCAGAGCATTAGTTTAAGCGAACTAAAAAATTGTAGGATTTCTAGACTTAAACTTAGAATGCTAAGTGATGATTGTGAGGTGAGTGTCTACCATATTTTAGACACGAGCACTAGTTTATTTTAGGAAAGTTGCCTAAAATGCCTTTATGTGCTAAATGCTATATTTTGCCATATATGCCATTATTTGTTCGGATCTATGGTCTGTTGCCGACCGGATATGGAAACCTTATGTGTGTAGGATTCTAAGCGTATGATTACGAGATTAAGACTAACATGTAAACGTTTCGGAGTGATAAGGGAATTGAAATGTATAACAAGGATAAAGACCTAAATTCGCCTTATTCGGTATATAGATTGTAATGGCAAGAACTCGAAGTGGAGCGGGAAATGCAAACAGAAACCAACAACCTCAACCCCAAGTGGTGGAATAGGTGCCTATAGTAGGAGCTGCACCAGAACCCATCACTATGGCTGGAGTACGAACTATGAATCAGACCATGTTGGCTGAACAAAGGGAGGAGTTGAGGAAAATGTTGTTGAACAACAGGGATGAACCTTCAGTTCCTGTTGAACAACGTGAACTAAATGACGATCGATCTGAAGAAGGGAACAACAGCAGATCGGTTGGTCATAATGAACTGCTTATGGTTGGGAGGAATAACCACGAGGGCAGAGTGGAGAGAAATGGGTGCAAGTATAAGGACTTTATGACTTGCAAGCCATCGACCTTCACTGGAAAAGAAGATCTTGTCGAAGTAATCGACTGGATCTCGGAAATGGAATTGGCTTTCATGACTTGTGATTGCCAAGGCAAGTTACAAACCACTTTTGCAGTACGTCAGTTCAGGGGTAGTGCTGCTCGTTGGTGGAACACATTGGGGAAAACCCTAAGCCCTAATGAGCCACTGCAAATGACTTGGGCAGAGTTCTTGGTGCACTTTAAGCGCAAGTACTGCTCGGCCCAAAACGTACTTGAGTTAGAAAACTAATTTCTAACGTTGAAGAAGGAGAGTATGACCGTTGACGAGTATACGAATAACTTCACAGACAAAATGGAGTTTGCTTTGCGTATTGTCCCAGATGAGCTGGCAAAAATTGACAGGTACGCAAAGGGACTTCCATGGGAGTATGCGGTGCCAGTATGTCAGGCACTTACTTTGGAGGCGGCTATCTGGGCTGCCAAGTCTGTTGAAGATATGATTAAGGGGAGAGCCGCCAGCAAGGTTGAAGTTGGCGAAAAGAGAAAGTTTGAAGGAACGTCAGGTTCCAATAAAAAGAACAAATTCTCGAAGTCTGGTTCGAGAAAATTTGGAGGAGGAGCCGAAGCCAAGTGGTGTGACAGGTGCAAGAAGAAACATGCTGCGAAGTGCAGCGTGGAACTCACTTGTTACAAGTGTGGAAAGCTAGGGCATTATGCCAATAATTGCACCTTCACTAATAACGTCTGTCATGGGTGCCATGAAGAAGGGCATATTTTGAGGGATTGACCGAAGAAGAAAGACGCAGCGAAACCCAATCTTTCACCAAAGCCGAAGGTGAGAGCCTTTCGGATGACACTCGAAGCTGTGAAAGAAGAAGCCGATGTCGCTTCAGGTACCTTTCTCGCAAACGAATTGCCTGCCCAAATTTTGTTTGATTCTGGAGCCAATTACTCCTTTATATCGCATGAATTTGGTAGAAAACTAGCTTTTCCTATTGATAGACTAGTTAATGCTTTATTAGTCGAAATTGCTAGTGGCAAGTTTGTACCTGTTAGCCATCGTATGAAAAACATCCTTATTGACTTGGATGGGAATAAGTTCCACGAGGAATTATTGCCTATCGAGTTAAATGGTTTCGACATAGTTTTAGGAATGGATTGGCTTAGCGCCAATGATGCCGAAATAATGTGTAGGAAGAATATAGTAAAAGTAAACCCGCCAGGGAAAGAGTCGTTTATGGTGTACGGAGACAAACGCAGAGTAAACTCTGGAATCATTTCCCTAATGAAAGCCAGAAAGTGTTTGGCCAAGGGGTGTACATCATATCTAGTGTTCGTGATCGATGCTCAGAAGGAAAAGAAGGAGGTGCAGGATATTACGGTGGTGTGCGATTATCCGGAAGTCTTTCCCGAAGATCTTCCCAGATTGCCCCCTGATCGACAAGTGGAGTTTCGTATCGACTTGTTACCAGGAACGACGCCGATAGCAAAATCATTGTATCGATTAGCACCAACCGAAAGGAAAGAACTTATGACACAACTTTAGGAGTTATTGGACAAAGGTTTCATTCGACCTAGTTCATCACCCTGGGAGCCCCTGTGTTATTTGTAAAGAAGAAAGACGGGAGCATGAGAATGTGCATCGATTACAGAGAGCTGAATAAAGCGACGATAAAGAACAAGTACCTGTTGTCGAGGATCGATGACATGTTCGACCAGTTGCAAGGTTCGAGCTATTTCTCGAAGATCGATCTTAGGTCAGGATACCATCAACTAAAGGTGAGGGAGCAGGATATCGAAAAGTCTGCGTTCAGAACAAGATATGGACACTATGAATTTTTGGTTATGTCGTTCGGACTGACCAATGCCCCAGCAGCTTTCATGGATTTGATGAACAGGGTTTGTAAACCATACCTTGATAAATCCGTGATAGTATTCATAGACGATATCTTGATCTATTCGAAAAGCAAGCAGG